TAATTTCCTAAGCAGTATTTAATGGCCAAGTTTCCTTCAGCATGCCATTTCAACTCTGAGCCTCATGTCCACGTCTCCAAAACCGGGAAAATGATATCTACATTACAGGTTTGTAACAGTAAGTGTATCAGTTTCCTGTTGCTGCTGTAACCAATTACCACAAACTTGGGTGCTTTGAACAAATTTATTATCTTACAATTCTGGAAGTCTGAAAAGGGTCAGAGTAGGCTACAAACCAGCTACTGGCAGACTTGAGTTCCTCCTAGAGGCTCTGGGGAAGTTTCCTTACCTTTCCGAGCTTCTGGAGGCTGCGTCAGCTTCTTGGCTCCCAACACCGTTCTTCCAGCTCTGACACTGACGCTCCTGCCCCTCCCCACCTCTCCCTTATAAGGACTTTTTAACTACATTGGGCCCACCTGGGTAAACCAGGCTACTCCCCTTCTCCAGGTCAGCTTGTTAAGCAGTGTAGATAGAAATGAGCACCGGGCAGGAGGAGAGGAAGGGGAAAGGAACAATCCAGAAAATAACAGTATGTCTGCCTTCAGGAAAACGGACGCCAGAAATTTTTACTTTCTCTACAGGAGGGCCAGCAAAAGAAGCCACTTAAGATCAAAACGCTGCAGCTGCGCAGAAGAGAAGGACCCGGGGTAACTTGACCCGACGAACCTGCCCAAAAGGGGAGGGACGTGCCAGAGCACAAGGAATCTGAGTTGTCAATCAAATTGAGCACAAGGAACCTGAGCTGTCAATCAGCCTGATGACTCAAAGAACCTGAATCGTTAATCAATCAATCACAAAAAAACACCCCTAAGCCAGGATGTAAGACGGAAAAACAAAGGAGCGGCGCCATTTTTCCTCGGATCGGCCGCTCCCAATTCTTGGGAGTGTACTATCTTTTCACTGTTTTTTTTACTTCACTACTAAAAATCTTGGTTATATCACACTTTTTGTCTCTTGTCAAAAAAAATTTTTTTTGGGTGATTAAGAACTAAGGTAATTCTTATTTCCGTTTTCCTGGTAACAAGCTGATTAGCAACTTAATTCTATCAGCAATCTTAATTCCCTTTTTCCATCTAACAGTATATTCACCAGTTCTTGGGATTAGGACATGGACATCTTTGGAGGCGGCAGGGTGGGAGGCATTATTTTGCCTACCATTACAACTACTCAAATAATACATCACAAATGCTTTACGGATATAAATACTTTCCATTAGGAGAAGGAAGGAAACAACGGTCAGGTCTGCTGTTAATCAGCAGCAGCACTCACCTTGGCCCTACCTCTCCTAAGTACCTGACCAGGACATTATTCACCACAACATGAGGGGTCTGGCTGGAAGCACATATAGGCAAAACCATAAACTTGGCTTAGATTCAGTAACAAGACATTCTGAAAGATGTGACTGTTGGTTTCTAGATGAACTTTTGACTGCAAACTGCCTAAATTGATTGTAGTTCCACAATTATTTAATTCTGAGGACTTTAGCAAGTTTCTTAACCTCTGTGACTTCATTTTCCCTCTATGTAAAATAGGAATAATAGTGCTTACCTCAGAGGTTTATTGAAAAAGTTAGATGAGAAAATTCATGAAATGTGCTTAGTAGACTGGCTGACACACAGCAAGTGCTCAATAGATGTTAACTGTCTTTAATGCCCTAGATAAGTATATACACCTCCTGTCATAAAAGCTACATTAGGCACTAGGCACTCTAGAATATAAGAATTTGATTTAGATACATACCATGACCTTAAGAAGTTTATAGTCCAATAGTGAAACAAGTTGACTATATTTGCTTAGCTAATTAAGGTTTTTCTATATGTAAAGTCACCTTCTTCACACTGTCTTGTTACTACTTTAATCTACAAAGAGGTAAAAGCTACCAAGTCACAGGGGAAACCTCTGAAAGCTCATTGCTGTGCATGACCAACTCCAAAAGCTTCTGACTGACAGAGTGAAAATCAAATTACCAGATCAAGAGAAACTTCAACTGCTAAAATTAAGACCTATGGAAATTACACGATTATATTTTAGAATATAATACAGATTTCTTTAGTACATATGAGTGTGTATATATGAATTTACACATACTCATGATACAGACACGTATATATAAAACCAAGATTAATTTACATAGGTTGAAAAGCTGTACTATTTCTAGAAATTGATTTGTAAATGTGCCTTGTGCTCAGTAGGGGCTTATTCAAGATAAACTTGTAGACTTTTCCAGGTTATAAACTGGATAATGGGTTTATGGTAAAACTCTCCAAGAAAAATCTTGCAGTTCCTGAAGGGCAAGGGCACAACAATATCTTAAAGTGAGTCAGTGACCTAGTGTCATAGTGGGTGAGTCAAATTTAAACAGTTACACGGACTTGATTCCCAAACATACGTCAAGAGAACTTAAGAGCAATGCCAAATATCTATCCATTGAATGAGTTATGCTATATTTATCAATAGAGTGCTCTCCAGTTCTCATCAAGGTGAAGGTATGTGAATAAATCAAGATGGATACCATGTTCTTGGATGAGAAAGCTCAGTATTTTAGTAGTTAGCATCTATAAATTCAATTTAATTCCAAACAAAATCATAACAAGAGGTTTTTAAGGACCTTAAAAAACAGAAGAAAACTTGCCTGAAAATATAAAATATTTTTTAAAATACAACTTTGATATTTGATCTATAAGATATGCTATAAAATATGATAGTTAAAACATTGTGGAGACTTCAGGTTTCCAGTTCCATATGTAAGGATCTTTGAAGTGGCCACTCTGTCCTAAAAACAAGTAAAAAGCTGAACACATTGAAAATCAACGAGTCTTCTTGGATCCATAAGAGAAGGAAGGATACAGAGCACACATCTGCCCCAGTACTGGAGAGACAGACAGCTGAATGTGGAGAATCACAGCTTTCTGGAGAAAAATTCATGAGGAGAAACCACCACGGGAACTAGTGCTGGGGTAGAAAAATCTAAACTATAACTGACAAACTGCTGGAGGCTGAATGCAGACAACTCTGAGAATTAAAAATTCCAAGGGGACCCAGTCATGGGGGTCTCTCATTATACTGTAAGATTCACCTAGAGAGACTGATCAGATTCCCACAGTAAATATCAGAGAAAAATTGCCTCCTGCTTCCTGAAGGAGAAGAAAAAGAATCCCTTCTGAAATATGCCAGAGAATTTTGTTCTTCTTAACAAGGTCTGCCCTCAGCAGAAACTAATTAACCAGAGCCTAACCTGCTGGGGTATAATCAGAGCCTCCCTGACCCGGGAAAAGGGATACCTAACTCTAGTTGGCTCTAGTATTCCACCTGTAAGAAGGGAAACACTCAAATCCAGCCCATACTGGCCATCTGCTCCACCTAAAAGGGGAGAAAAAACTGAATGTTTGTTGTTTAAGCCCCCTAGTCTATGGCATTTTATATACAGGCCTGAAATAACCAAGACAGAAAGTACTACCACTTCCTTTCCATATCTGTATAGTCAAAGATTGCAGTTGTTGCAGCTAATAGGAGTCGGGTCACTCAACACAGATTCCAATTCCTTTCTCTTTTTCTTATCTACTCCGGTGGTTGGAAAACTAAAATGCATTTGCCTCTGTTGCTTGCATTTTTCCAATAGGCCATCAGTTGAAGTACACGAGTGCCATATTTTCTTTTTCCTTCCTTCTTACTGCCTGGAATATGTGTTGTATCTGTAGAAGAGCTGTTGTCACTAAAGATGATGGAGCAAAAAGAGAAATCTCTTGGTTCCTCCATGGAAGTTGCGGGTTGCTATACTGTTTCTGGACCATCTACTCTCATGCAAGAAAATTAAGTTTCTTATTTGCCTAAGCCTCTATTGTAGAGGTTACTTACTGCAACCCACAAAGGAATTCTATCCTAATCAATATGCAGACCTGGGGAAAATCCTACTTCTACTCTGGAGGAGTTTAAGCATTCCTTTCTCCAAAGGCCTTTATGGATTCTTCTATCTGTGATTAAAGGATGGCTACCTATCTTCCTTTGTATTTTGTAACACTAGAATAATGCTTATATCAACTGGCTTTATGTTTCATTTACCTGAATAAATCCCCACAAGAGTAAAAAGAGTGAGTGCCTTTGCAGGATTTACATTCCCTATGATGTTTAGGACAGTACTTTTCTCTAAGAAAACGTACAAATTTATTTTCTTTGAATTGACGGAAAAAGTAGAAAACCATAGAGAAAGAAGCGATATGGAAAAGAATATGAAAACAAGTTTATTTTTCCTTAACAGTAAAAAATACTTCATTTTAGGCAATTAAAATAAGACAAGGAATAAAAAATATTTGGAGCATATTGTTTGGTTTTCATTTCATCTCAGAAATACAATAATGATTTAAAAATCTGTGTATTTACTGAGAGAATAGTGGCTGTTAGCCTAAGGCATCAGCACTTTCTGGCATCTATTAATTTTCCAAAAATGTCTTATGTCTCAATCATTATTGTCTAATTAAAATAGCATGGTCAACTTTGTCTTTAGAACAAAGATGATAGAAGTACCAAGATTCTTTGAGCTTGAAATATTTTTCTATTGTTTTAATATAGAAAGTGCTAATTTGAGACAAAAAGAGGGAATAGGTAAATCTAACTTTATAACTGACAGCTGAATTTAGTGCAGGAAATATTAAAGAGGCCATCACAATGAATGTAACTTTTTAAATTAATCCTCCCCTTTCATTTATTTTTCACTCTAAAATATGGGTCATGGAGAATTTTACAACCGTTTGGGCCAGAGTCAAGCAACCCTCTCAGCAACATTCATTAACTTTTAATACCATTACCATCATTTATTAAAGAACAGTTACCAAAATTCAGCAGGAAAGTTAATTGGATTCTTGATTTCCAATTTCTACCTGCTTTCAGTTGGTTATCAATGTGAGCACGGAAAAATGGAGAGATAATTCATAGAAATGTATAAGTAGTGAATATTTATTGTTACCTCCCCTTTCACTCACCAAGATTTAGACGGACATAATTACCTTTGTCTCCAGAGTAAAGAACACAACACTTGTACATCTATCTCCTGTGAAATCTCCTTCACAGAGGCAAGGGGTCGGAATCTTCTGCCCTCGGTTGAAAAGAACAAAAGAAATATCCTACTAGGCACATAAATAAACAACTCTCAAGGAATAGCAGAAAGCGGTGTATTCTATACCTCATCCCTTCAACTAATGTCAATTTTAAATTAGCTGACCATTTACCTTGGTAGACAGAAGTATGATTCAGGCAGAGAATTCTCTAGAGGCAATCTAGTTTTGTTTTTTTTAAGATGATGACATGATATGAGGAAGTCATTATTTGTCTGAACTATTTTAATTCTCTGAAATTATTAAATTTAGACATTAAACTAGAGACTACACAGTTAGCAGGATGACATTGACATCAAGTTACCGAACTTCCATGACAATAAAAAGTTTAAATTCCTCAATTCTGATTCTCATGTTAATTACATTTTGAGATCACAGAGGATCTGAAGAGAACTACTGAGTATCTTCACTTTGTGAAATTCTAGTCATTTTATAATACTTAGAAGATACTATGAACTCTCTGGTTACATACTGTCAGCATTACGGATATTGAGTAGCAGATGGATGTATCTTGGTTCCTCCTATGAAAGGCAAACTGGAACACAGGGTTCAGATAGTCTTGATACAACGACCCTACTCTCTGCGTAGGATTGGAACTTGCTCTTCTAGCCTTTCATGATCTATGGAACCCATTCTTGAGCAGCATTTGTAAAGTCCTAGCTAATGGTGGGGAGGAACATAATTTCTCACCACCACAAACCTGCCATTTTAATATACAGATTAAAACTCTCATTAAGCAATTAAAATGTTCTCATATGTGAAAATGGATACAGTATCATCACAACATTCTATAACCCTATTATTCTTTGCAAAAAGACACACGTTCTATTTAGCACAATACAGAAATTTTGTAAGGTAAATGTGAAAATCTCACACTGAATCAGTGAAACAATTTCAGAGCTCAAGGAAACTTAAACAAGTTCCAGAAATCAAATACTTAATAAATGTTGGAGGTTAGACTCAAAAATGGTGGACCTGCCTAGTGACTATTCTGTTTCACGGACTCTTATGAAGGGGCAAGATACTGAAGGGGCAATGAGATAGAGAGAGGAAAATAATTTATCGTAAAGGAAAAAGGAGAAACACAGATTAACGCAAAGAGGTTGGGAAGGGGAAGCATGGACATACGTCTGCCTGCTTTTAAAATTATCCCAAAGTCATTACTGTGTTACATTTGGTCTTTCCCTAGAGTCTGGGGAGACATTGAATACATTTCTAGTTATGATACTCATAGCTCTTCTCTGAGAGGAACCTGCAAAAAGAGAAGATTAATACTTATCAAGTCTTTATGAATATTTCTACTAGGATAAACAGATAACTTGTCCCATCACCTAAGACCAAACTTGCTATGCAGCTATATTAGTCAAAGTTCTCCAGAGACACAGAACCAAGAGAAGTAAATGAGAGACGGAGTTATTTACTTTTTCATTTATTGTAAGGAATTGGCTTATGATTATTTGATTGTGGAGCCTAAGAAGTCTCAAGATCTGTAACAAGCTGAAGACCCAGGAGAGCTGATGGCATAACTCCAGTTAGAGTCTGAAGACCTGAGAAGCAGGGAAACGGATGACATAAGTTCCAGCCTGAGAGCCATCAGGTTTGAAACGCAAGAAGAGCCAATGTTTCAGGTTGAGACCAAAGGCAGGAAAAGACCAATATCTCAACTCCACCAGTCAGGCAGAAGGAGTGTCCTCTTATTCAGCCTTTTGGTTCTATTCAAGTCTTCAACTGATTGGATGAGACCCACCTATATTAGGGAAAGCAATCTGCTTTATTCAGCCTACCAACTCCAATGTTAATCCCATCTGGAAACATTCTCACAGATGTACATACCCAGAATAACGTTTAACCAAGTGTCTGGGCACCACATGGACTAGTCAACTAGACACATAAAAGTTACTATCACAGAGGTCTACTGCCTACCCCAAGGAAAGAAAAGAAAATATGAAGACAAGAAACCACAGCAGTCATGATTTCATTGGCTGAACTTTTTTTTTTAATGTTGTTAGTTAATTGTTAGGATGACTAATACAGATAAACTAACACAGATATAAGATAGAACTTATATTTAAATTCTATAATTTCAAAGAGAAATTGTACTAAGCACTTGTTAATAATGGTAAGGAAGACTTTATTCAAGAATATTGCAACAGGGATCAAGATTATTGCAATAGGGGGGAAAGAATGAACTCAATTCCATTGAAACAAAAGGGAGAGTTTAAGCACTGACCTGATCTAATGGAAAAGTCCTGTAGGACATTAGAGGGGAGAGTGGTCAATGTAATTAGACCATCTCTGCTAACTGGTACTTACAGGAATTAGGCTCCTACCTTCCCACAGATACTGGGAGATAGGGGACTTATTCTTAGATATTATATTTCAAAAAGGTAGCTCCCAAACTTATGAGAAAGGCATTCTTGGGGTGTAAAATTTGCAACAGGCTGGGAGAAAATTTGTATCTCAGAAAGGAAGAAAAAGAATTTACAACTGCAAGTTTTCTAAAGTAATGCTCTAAAAAAAGGGAGGTCAAGGACCTATAGTCAGGAAGAAACCTGTGTAAATTTTGGTCACGCTGAGGACAACATGAAGGACATTGTGGCCAAACCAACGCAAAACTTTCCAGCTATCATTAAAAGAAAAAAGTGGGGGTGAAGGAGTGTGGTATACCACTGCTAAATGCATACTGTGCAAAATTATTTATAAAACTAAGAATTTTTATACTTAATTAACTCACACTTTCACTGCCAAATATTTAAAATTTGCCCATTATATGTCAACCAATGTCAGTATATACATTGTAATGTGCTTTGAATATAGATGAGATATTACTAATTAGATGAGGCAAATGATACCAGATTACTAGGTAATAATAACATTGAGCTTACTGGCATCCAGGGAACTTTCACAGGCACGAGCAGATGGAAGAGTTTTTAATGCATAGTGAACGAAACTGACAGATAAAATGTTTACCTAGTCCTTCTTTTTCTTACTTCTTTTTTACAATTGCATTTGCTTTCCCAAATATTTTCTCCAAAAATCCTACATACTTGTTGTTAATATTTCCCTTTATTTTCCTAAAATTAGGAATAGCAGCTGAATTAAATGTATTTTGCTCTAAACAAAAGAAAATATAATGAATGCTCTAATGTTTTCTTTATAAACTTTAATATAGGTGATGATTCTGAGAAGTAAATCTAGGAACTAAATATCTTATATTTAATAGCATATTCTATATTATACAATATATGTATAATAGTATAATTATATGTAATAATATATTGTATTAAAGTTTCTTAAAATGTTAAATAATCGTATGAATTATGTGCTTTCATCTATTTTATATTGCCCAGAATTATCCCAGTTTATTTCTTCAGTTAGTAATACTTTAGCTCATATCCATTGACCGACTTTAATTGTACTTCTATTCCTATATCTTTCACTGAATAATTTATTCATTTAGTCAACAAATACTTATTGAGCACCAGGTACCTATCAGGCATTGTGTTAATTACTGAAAATACTTACAGAAATTAAGCAGTATCTACACTCAACAAGTACTCATTACAGTTTTCAAATAATTATCACACAATATAACAACTGCCCTAAGAGTTACTTTTTTAAATGCAATATAATTATTGAAAGCAAAGTGGCTAGACCTGAGGGAGATGAGAAAGTTTTCACAGAGAAAGTGACATTTGGTTTAATTACTTAAGGACGAGTAGAAGCTGCTTTGCTATCTTCTGGCATCCAGTGGGGGGAAAATGCATTATAAATGCATAGTGGCAAAGAATAAGGATTTTCCAGTTTGCAAGCGATGCCTAGTCAGGAAAATATGTAAGTGAGGGGCTAGGGAAGATAAACTCTACTAATGCTCTGCTAAATGTAAGCACATGCAGGCTTATACTACTAAATATATTATTGTAGAAAAATTATTTTTGCTGATAATACAGTAAGTGAATATGCAAAAAATGTACAAGATTTTTTTGATAAAGTAAATAAATGCTCAACCTACAAAAAATTCTTAAAAATATTTATTTAAGATCTTTTTTACATTCAAAAATCATGGAATGCTTTAAGGACACGTAAAGAAGACAAAATCCAAATTAGTTTTCAAATATTTGGCTAAGTAAATTTCCAGAAATATGCTATCACTGCTTATTTTCATGATGATTTTCATGTGATTACAAGACATTCATGCAAACATTGAGAAAATAACTATCCAGCTAAACCTTGTGTGTATATAAATTATGCATTTTGAACATATATACAACACATACAATTTGAACATTTACTTAATCAAAGTGAAAAAATATTAAGAAATTTTTAAATGTCTCAATGTGTAAAAACTCTAAGAATTCCTAAGAAAAAGTCAATGAATCATTAAAAGAATAATAAATAGATTCTCATGTCTAAATGAAACTTTCTGACCCTAAATGTAAACAAAAAACAATTAACAAATAAAAAAGTAGTGAGAAATGAGAAGGGAATAAAACAAATAGAAATATTAGATCAAATAATCATCAAGCACTAATCAGAGGGGAAAAGCAAGCTACAAAATATGCATTCTGACTGTCATCTCTACAGAGTATAATATTGACAATAGTTAAACAGTTTGAATACACAGTTTGAGTATTAAATAATTCATAATGTTAAAATAACTATTAAAATCTGTCAGAATATATGATACACTGGTTACACCTATTTATTCTAATATGTAATAGAATTGTGAAAGCTGTAGCATTTTAGTTTTCATTTAAGTAAAACTTTGACAAAATAATATGAGATCATAGAATTGTTAATACCAGTGAAATAGAATAAGTCTCTGAAACTTTAGGGAAAAACTCCAAGTAAATAGACAGTCATAACTTCAAACATCTGAGTTTTGTAGTGTAAAGGAGTAATTCCATTTAACCATTAAATTATAATTCAAAAAAAGTACAAGACTATGTACGTTTATCATATTCAATAAGCTAATG